AGGACAAAACTGTGTTCTTAAATTGTGACCCAATGAAACTTAATTGAAGGATTGTCATTGAGTTAAAAATGCCTAGTATTTCACTTGGATTTGCTCCTGAGTGAGAAGGTCGGCTGTGCTTCAGGTAGTGTAAGCCCATGTTTTGGCACACATCCCTACTTCATTTGTATGGATAGCTGCAGCTTTCCCTGGGAAGGTTTTGACCTGTGCTCTTTAGGGCTGTTGTTCAGGTGCTGGAGGTATTGAGCACGGTACCTGTGCAGCCAGGGACAGGGAAATCTCCCCTGTGCAGAATGCCTTGATTGTTGTTCGTGATTTTCTGCCAGATGTCTGGACGAATATCTGGTTGCTATGAAAACTCCAGCCCTGGCTGGATTTTAGGGGCCCTGTGCTATGGGTGGGGGTGGTGTCCAGGCTGGAGTTCTGTAAGCCATGCCTGGAGATGGCATGGTGGCTCATACCAGGCTCTTTCTTTGTTCATTTTCACTGGAGAACATGGGTTTTGTGGAGTTCTGCTTTTGCAAATAGCCAGTTTTCAATGGGATCCTGCCTTGCATGATTAATCTTGCACCCACTGGAAGTATTAATAATTAATTATTTGCAATAGGAAGAGCCCCAGATTTGGAAGTACTTGCTGTCACTTGGTTTAGTTATGGCAATTTAATGGCAGAATATACTGCTGTAATTTCTGGCTGGGTTCTTAATCTTTAAATAATGAAGAAAATTCTGGATTTGCAGCAATTGTCTCACCTAAGGATGATAGGCAAATAAAGCAACATAAAGCTTTTATTTCTAATTGAAATCTAGATTGATTGTTCAGCCTTACTCTGCATGTGTAAGTAACTATGGCAATGAAATGTGATAAAGCATCGTTCGTCGTTTTATGCATGAGAAGTAAGTTGGCCTGTCTCGGCCAGACAGAACAGGAGATCAGAAATCACTAGAGCCTTTGATGCAGTGCAGGTTAGTGAAGGAGCCCTGTGCTCCCGAGTTTTTCTAGGCAGGCCACAGATGCCAGGGCACTGTAGCACGCAGGGAGTAAGTAAAGACACCTAATTTTCCACTTGTTTGATAAGGAGCCTGCCTATGTCATATCTTTGTGCTGACATTTTTTGCCTCTGTATCAATGTAAAATTTTTTTGCAAAATGATCCTTGTGAAATGCTTGTGCTCTTCGTGTGGTGCTTTTTCTTGTCTTTGCCAGGGCAAATCCCCAGGCAGGGATTGTCTCTTGTCGTGTGGTACTGCAGTGCTTAAGGTAGTGAGTACTTATGTCACTTAGGACTTTTGTGCACCAGCATAAAAGAACCTTAAATTAAGCCAGTTCTGCCACTGCTTTCCTCTGCGGTTTCAGGCAGGCTGTGCAAGCTCTCTATTCATCGCTTTCCTTATTTGCAGTATTGAGATAGTACTACTAGAAGTCACTTGCCCAGAAGTGTCCAGAGTGTTTTGATGTTGAGAAAACCAGATACTGTGACTCCACTCAGTTTCCCTCTTTCTTTCCTTTTATTACATGGTGTGTGGATAATATAAACGGACAAAAATTAACTAATTTTTCATGCATTGCTAAATAGCTTATTTATCTGCAAAGAAGTGTTCAAGTTGTGACAAAAATTAACTAATTTTTCGTGCATTGCTAAATAGTTTATTTATCTGCAAAGAAGTGTTCAAGTTGGTTATTCTGCTTTGCCTACCTGTATCGCTGTGATACTGCAAGGACCAATTCATACTCATCACAGGATGGGAATGTGAAATCCGCTGCATGGAGACTGAAGGCTACCGGTCTCCAACTCCAGCTGGCCTCATTCATTTCTCCAGTTGGGTTCATGTAACTTCAGTGTTTCTCCACCTTTGTGGTCAATAAGGCTGAGTATGATCTGTTATCTGAGGAGTTTTTCTTATTGATGTTTGGTTTATGAAATTCAGATGAGGCTCAGTGTCATTTTCAAAGTAATTTGTGTGGCTCAGAGTGAAAATAGATGCCCTATGGGATCATTAAGCACACGTGGATTATCGATGTCTGGTGATTTCTCAGCAAAATTTGGTTATTTCCCTGCTTAGAGCATGGGCACATCCAGTTGCTGGTTTAGTATGTTACCACTCAGGAGTTGTGCCGTGCTAATTAGCTGTAAACAAACTCAAACTGAAATGTAACTTGCATCAGCCTATACTCCTTTTATGATAACAAAGTTGGTAAGGAATCTGATCTATATGCCGGGGAATTCTGGGATCTTAAACAAGACTTGTGTGTCAGACACTATAGAGGCTCAGCCTCACTCATGTGGACAAGAAGTTTCCATGGGTGGTCCCAAAGTCAGAGTGATTTTGGGGATCTAACTTCCCAGTGCGCTGGCTGGTTGAGCTTTGCTCATGACAGCACTCTTTCTGTAGGAAAAAGAGTACCTTAGGAATAAAGTTGTGGTGTCATGTAGGCATATCAAAATGTTGCAGTTCCAAGTATAACAGAAGGAATGAGTAGAATTTGCTACAGCTGGGCATTTCTCAAGATCTGATGCCTGCGTTTCACAGGTGGGAGTAAAAACTTCTGAAATTCCCCCCCCCCTTTTTTTTTTCAGTGTCCATAAAAAGACCATAAAGACATAGCAAGTACTATACAAACACCCTGTGAAATATCCAAAAAGGAAAATATAGTCAAAGGAGGATGCCTTTTAGTAGTTCAGTGACTCTTAGAGTGCCCACATTTCCGCATGGGTGATGGACGTCATCTTTGGTTTGCTATGTGAGGCCAATAAGAGACTCAGCAGACCAGCCTGTGGTACGGTGTCTTTGATAGACTTCCCATGAGCACAACTGGAAATACAGACACAAAACAACTGAAGACACTGCTGAGCGTGTCCTCAAGTGCGTGTGGAAAGGGGAAGTACTGGGAGATGGCTGTGCAGTATGTGATCGTTGTCCATGTTTTGAGGGTTTATTGGAAAAGAGTCAGATCTGTATGGTAGGAAACCTCAGCTTTTGGGAGTGATCTTTATTGGGTCTGAAACATTTGGAAGTTGCAGTCGTGTCTGCAGTGTTCTGTTCTTGTCTCGGTCACTTCACAGCCTCTGGGCTAGCTTACTGGGAGATCATTCTCTTTCCATCCCTCCACAGAGGCCTGTGTCTGTGGCCGTCTGAGCATCTTCCAAGGATGTGCCAAGTGATGAATGAGCTTTATTTAAGGCTGTCCCTGAAAGCCACTGCATACGTGTCAACACAGTCACTTCAAGGCTTTCAGCTTGCTGGAGCCTCTGTCAGCACTCTCTGCAGCTTCTGTGGACTGCCTGATCAGCAATGCTATGACTATTAATATTTATAAACCTTAAATAATACAGGACTTCAGTGTACCTGAGAGACCATATGTTGGCTTCCAATCCCCAAGAAAGCACCTGAGATCAGTGTGGCTACAACCCTGGCTGATCCACTGTTACGGTCCCAGAAGGGGAAGGAGGTGGAGCTTTTCCCGTGGAGGGCCTCTGCCTTTGGATTTCTCCCTCCTTCATTAGTTACCAGAGCACATCATCTTCATCCTTCGGGGCCAAGCTGCAGCTTATTCCTTTCCTTTTAGTCTGGAGTCTTCTATCACTGTGTCGTGCATTTATTACAGGGCTTCACTTGGTTATGACCTTGGTTTTGGTTGTTTCCCATCTTTTAGTAGAAATGCATTGATTTGGGTGTGGTTTGCAGGGAGAGAAAGCGCTCAGATTTTTATTTATTTATTGCTTTTGGTGGTTTTATTTGGCCAGAATCTTATGAAGGTGCTTGGTAACCATTTGGACACAGATGCCTCTAAATTAACATTTAATATATGCATGTGCGAAGGTGCATATCAATGAATAATGCATAGTAATAAACAGCTTGGTGGCTGGGTTTGATTCAGAGCAATATTGCATATGGATTAGCCTTAAGGACCCAGATCAGCAGTGTTAATAACGTGTATCAGGTGGAGACAGCCAAGCTACGGCTATTGTGTGCTGCACCCCTTACCTTGGTGATAAAGATGTCTCTCCTCCCGTGTACACAGCCTCAGCCGGACTCACAGAGCCATTCGGTGCGCTCTGCTGAAAGAAGCCCTTCGGAAATGACTAAGGCAACCCTCCCTCCGCCTCACCAGCCACCGGAGCAGTTTATTTAGGTACAAACCCGAGAGAATAAGTTAAAAAAAAATAAAAAATACAAAAGGATCCCTGACGCGTGCAGCTGTACCTGACACGAGGAGCAGGAGGGTGTGTTAGAGCCCAGCAGCTCAGGCAAGGCGCTGCGGGGTGGAAGGGAGGGGGGGCTGGGAGGGGTGCGGGTGCCT